TTAATATGACTAATGACTATGCCATGACCCACCCAATAAACAAACTGTATGTCATGGCCTTGCCTTTCCTTGCCTTTAATGGCAATGAGATACGAAAGGCAGAAGATCCCCAGCAGATACAGTGCTGAGAACTCAAATTTAACATGGAGCAGGGGAGCCAGTTCAACAAGGAGAACATTATACAAATATATTCGGGGCCATTGTGTGGAAATCTATTCACAAACCTGACTTTTTCATAGGACACAAGGTCATGCATTTAGACTGGAAGAAAGGCAAAGGAAAGGTTTTTTTTACTGTAAGAACAATCAGGATGTGGAATTCTCTGCCTGAAGAAGTGGTTTTATCAGAGTCCATACAGATGTTCAAACAGCTACTAGATGCATACTTGCAAAAACAGAATATTCAAGGATATACTCTTTCAATTTAGGGAAATGACTGTTTGATCCAAGGATAAATCTGACTGCCATTCTGAGGTCAAGAAGGAATTTATTTCATAACTTGTTGCAAAATTGGAAGTGCTTCAAACTGGGGTTTTTTTTGCCTTCTTTTGGATCAACAGCAAAAAAACTTATGTGAGGAAGGCTGAACTTGATGGACACAAGTGTCTTTTCAGCTATGTAACTATGTAACAGCAACCCCAGCATCAGCTATCTAAACTGGTGAGCTATGTGGACTACTAACTAGAGTCTTCCTTCTCATTTTACAATAAAGAGATTTCACTACTTTCCACAAGTATTTCTGACCATGGGTATTATTTCAGCATGACAAGTATGACTATGTGTGTCACTATGTAATTGTGTAAGTGGCTAGTTATGGGAGTAAGTTATGGGTGGCCGATGCCTACCTTGAAGTAGAAGGACAGAAAGAGGTGTGGATATCTGCCTTGAAGGAGGTGGGCAGGAAGAGGTGATTATTCCTGTATGGAAGGAGGAGGACAGGAAGAGGTGTTGATTCCTGCCATGAAGGAGGAGGACAGAAAGAGGGTTTGATACTTGCCTGCAAGGAGGAGAACACAAAGAGGTGTTGATACCTGCATGGAAGGAGGATAACAGGAACAGGTGTTAATATCTGACTTAAAGGAGGGGGACAGGAAGCCAGCTGTTGATACCTGCCAGGAAGAATGAAAACATAAGGAGTGTTTGGTACCTGCCTGGAAGGAGGAGGAAAGGAAGAGGTGATGATATCTGCCTTAAAAGAGGAGGAGGACAGGAAAATGTATTGATACCTGCATAGAAGGAGGAGATCAAGCAGAGGGGTTGATATCGCCTTGAAGGAGGAGGGCAGGAAGAGGTGATGATACCTGCATGGAAGCAGGTGGACAAGAAGATGAGTTGATACCTGCCTGGAAGGTATCAGTGGTACCTGGTAATAGAGGAAAAAGGACAAACCATGCAGGAGGACAGATCTGAATCCCAAGTGGTTAGTTTTGTCAACCCCTGTTTCTGTCACAGAAATGATAAATTATAAATTAAACATGCTGTGTAATGAAGGAAATTTAGACAGCTGTCTCTTTAAAGGAATTTTATAGCAAGACGATGTAGGTTACATGCATGGAGGTGTGACTAGGGCTGCATAAACAGTCACTTCCCTGGATAGGGCAGACAGAGTTCTTGTGTTGTAAGAGGACAAAACAAAAGTTTCTCTTTACCACAAATCAATCCATTTAATGGTTACTATGATATCTGCCTAATGTAACCTCTGACTGTGTGATCCGCTTCATGTTATTTGCAGTCGTATTCTTTGGGAGTGCGTGCCAAAGTGACACACAAGTCCCTCTCTTTCTCTTTCTATCTATCTTCTCACCCTTTATTTCAGTAGCAGAACAGCTTGTAAAATATTTAAAATGTCATTTTTACATTTAGTGTTGTACATTTTTTTTACTTTCTGCACATGAAAACATTTTTACAAAAACATAGAAACGTAGAATGTGATGGCAGATAAGAACCATTCGCCCCATCTAGTCTGCCCAAGAACCCATCCAATGCTGTTATTTTGGTGACATGTATTATAAACACTGCCGCTGGTATTTTTCCAATTTCCCATTGACACTAGCTGAGCTTTTTATACATTAATCTGCTTGCAGTGCGTATTTACCATGTGACTGACCTAGGGACCGTGACACAATATATTCTATCCATAGAATCTAATTTGTTTGGCAATTCATCACAAATAGTGATTAATGTACCCTTTCTTTATCCTACTCCATCTTGTGAAAACTATAAATTGTTATTGTGTTATTTTGCCACCTTTTGTTATTATACTTTTTTAAATTTGCTTTTTTCCCCTTATTCCTTAATTCACTTGTATATTACCATTATTATCGTTATTACCATTTAAATAGCCCCATCAAATTTCGAAGTGATTTATGATTTTACGAACGGATATAAACAGAAAAAAGAAGACAAACAACCAACATACAACCGTTTATTAGTTTCTGTACAAGTATTATTAATACCTTGCTACTGTACCTACCTTTTCTTATCTTAATGGTAACCTATGGCAAAGGTTAGTGAACCTGGCATTTTTCTATTACACATGAATCAAAGCATCTGGAGAATGGTAAAATTCTCAAATCTGTCTATGTATTTTATCTATTTATATAAATACCATACAATAAAAAGAATACATATAAGAATCCATGGACATCGGAAGAGAGAAATGGATGAAACATCTCTCTAGGGATATTCTGTGGGTAAGGATAAGAAGATTAGATTACTGTGGAGCTGAATGACGTGAGTTGGCCAGGTAAATTCCACTGTTCAGCACCAGCATTAGTCAGCCAGTCCTTCATTACTGAGTCTTCCGTCTCTAAGAGACTGAATGGTACAATTTGCAAGAAAGGCAGGTTGTGATGTTTCATCAGAGGTAGCCTGTACTCATCCAATCCTACCCATAGTCGCTAGTATCCCATTTTTCTTTCATACATATGTATATATTACATAGTAACGACTAAAAGGAACTGGGGACACACCCGAAAAATGCATTTTACAGGAGTGGTGCTGCCATGGTAACCAAAATTCATACATAATACATATTAAGGGACAGTGCACGCGCAAAAATACATTTTTCGACTTTACAAGGCTATTCAAAATCACCCCTTTGGAGGTGACCACAGGTATATATTTGAGGAGGGTTTGGATAGTAATTTCACTTTAATTATAATTTTCTTCCCAAACAAAGCACTGAATGTTCCTAGAGACACCGTTGGAAGCATAGTTGCAAGTTTAAAGTGAAAGGAACAGTGGTTACACTACCTGGACGGGGCAGAAAAAGAAAGCTATAAATGGCTGCAGTCAGATTTCTGAGAAGGCAGGTTGTGATAAACCCTTGAGTGACTGCAAAAGACTGGAGGCAACAGGCACTGAGATTTCAGTGAGCACAGTAAGGTACGTACTAAACACAGGAGGTTTCCATGCCAAAACTCCAGGATGTACACCACTATTGACCCAAGAGCACAAGAAAAACCGGCTCCAAATATGTTTTAAAATCATATAAATAAGCCAAATAAGTTTTGGGATTCTGTTCTGTGCAGTGATGAAACAAAACTGGAACTTTTTGGACCAATCGATCAGCGGTATGTTTGGAGGAAGATGAATGAAGCATTTACTGAAAAGAACACTCTTCCTACAATTAAGCATGGTTGTGGCTCGTGATGCTCTGGGGCTGATTTGCATTATTTGACACGGGAAACCTGCAGTGTATGGAAGGCAAGATGGATTCATTGAAGTATCAAGAAATCCTAGGCAAAAACGTCATGCCGTCTATGAGGAAGATGAAGCTTGTGCATCATTGGACCTTCCAACAAGACAGTGATCCCAACCATACATAACTCCACCAAGGCTTGGTTGCAGAAGAAGTCCTGGAAAATTCTACAGTTGCCATAATGATCACCTGACTTGAACCCCATAAAAAATCTCTGGTGAGATTTGAAGAAGGAAGTCGCAGCACGCAAACCCAAAAATATTACTGAACTGGAGGCCATTGCTTATAAGCAATGAGCTAAGATTCCTCAGGAATGCTGCCAAAAGCTGGTGTCTGGCTATGCTTCTCATTTACAGTAGATCATAACAGCAAAAGAGTGCTTCCACTTCCATTAGATGATACGGTTATGGGACCTACAGTATCCCTTTAACAATCACCTAGCATTTACATTTTAACCAATTCAATGAAAAAAAATGGTCATTGTGCCTACAGTATCCCTTTAATGCCAACTGTCGCAGTCCAACAAAAAGTAATGACTGGTCCTCGCTACATATTAACCACTTGTCACGAATACGGTTGAAGCTGTCAGTGGAAATACATATTTCAGATACATACATAATACATGACTGTCTTTAGTAACAATTCTCTGTGCTTACAATTAGTTAAATCTTAGCACCTCTACACATACAGATCCTAAGTCTAGCGTGCTTTCCTTTGCCAAAAACTCATAAATGTTTAAAATAACTGAGGAGCATAGTTTTAAAGAGTCCCTCAGCTCCCGGCCACAGACATAACATTTCAATAGGAGCAGTTAAATATTTATTCAAGGCAGTGTTTACTCTGAGTCCCACCTTATATAAGCATTTCTGTGAGGAATTCTTATTGGGGTTATTTAGCAAAAAAAATGTCAGAGAATTACTAAACCAGCAAAGAGCAAATAATAGCAGGCTCAAACACCTGTCCTTCAAACTCAATGGACACAATTATTACTGAAATACCTTTAAAAATGTTTTGATCTATTGGTTAAGGCACAATATGTCTTCTGTTGACCTCAGGAAAAAATAAATCTCAATTACTCTGACTACAAAGCAGGATATGAAGAAATTAGAATCATTTACAATATTTTGCAATCCAAAGTTTATTAAGAAAACGTGTACATAAAATTTAATATAAAAATAAGACAAAACAAAATGTAATACACTCAGTATGATTTACAAGACTGAAGGAAAGATATATAAGAAATTACTTAAAACAAGATCAGTAAGAGAAATTCATATGTAGAGAAACAAAATACTGAAGGAAAAGGGGGAGGGGAATAAAAAATGGGATATAGACAGGTATCAACATTTTCTGAATATGTCAGCAAGATTAATCATGAGAAATCCCTCATCTCCTGACCAATTTCTCTTGTGCCTCTATTTTTCCCATCCTGAGGTAACCCTTCAGTTCGGTCCATTATGTTCCTTTTTATCCTATGTTGTTTTTCTTGGAGACCAAGGTTCTGCAGATGGAATGCTATACAGTTCTAGGCATTTGGTCTGGCATTAGTAGGTAAAAAATTTAAAGCACTCAGTGCACTTTTGCACACTTAAAGGGACACTCTAAGCACTAAACAACTTTAGCTTAATGAAGCAGTTTTGGTGTATAGATCATGCCCCTAAAGTCGCACTTCTCAATTCTCTGCCATTTAGGAGTTATATCACTTTTGCTTCTGTTCATGCAGCCCTAGCCACATGTCCCTCAGCCTACATAAAAAAACATGGTTTCTTATTAAATCACATGTGACAGCACAGTGTGTTTACATTAGACGTTGTGTGATTAAATTAAACTTTAATTACACATAGGAGGCTCCTGCAAACTCTGGCAGGCTATTAGTAGTGTAGGAGATAAGAAATTCTAAATTAAACATGCTGTGTAATGAAGGAAATTTAGACATTAGCTGTCTATTTACAGGAAATTCTATAGGAAGACTATGTAGGTTACATGCAGGGAGGTGTGACTAGGGCTGCATAAACAAAGTGATTTAAGTCCTAAATGGCAGAGAATTGAACAGTTAGACTGCAGGGGCATGATATATAGACCAAAACCACTCCCTTAAGCTGAAGTTGTTTTGATGCTGAATTGAAATATTTATTTATTTTTTTTCTGACAGCTGAACACAGGCACAGGACACAATTCAGAATGATAATAGGGATCTGCATGTTCTTGTATTTTCCATTTGTTTTCCCCTTTACATAGAAATTAGAAAAAAATAATAGCATAGAACATAGGTGCCCGACCCAGTCCTCAAGTACTCCCTACCAGTCCAGGATTTAGGGATTAACCTGTTGTGTCTAAAGTGTTTTTTTTTTTCCTTTCTAAAAACACAACTGGGTAATCCCTAAATCCTGGACTGTTAGTGGGTACCTGAGGACTGGGTTGGGAACCACTGGCATAGACGATTGTGGCAGATACCACCAAAATCTTGCTAAAACTCTCTCAAAAGCCTATAACACTGCCCTAGCTCTCTGTTCCGTCCTCCCCTCCATATGGTTCTAGCAAGTGCCTCTCTATACCCTGTCCACAAACAGTGCTTTTTGGAGCGGAGTTTTCAAGCGGAACAATCGCCACCTATGAGCCCGGTGGAGCCCCCTTACCTCGACCCACTAGAGATCCCATTAAAGCATCAGCATATGACTCTAAATGATTGGAACGGTTTACAGCCAGGACTGTCCTAGCTGGCGGTCTAAACTTTGATGGGGTGGAGTTTCCCCAAACGTCCACGGATAAGAGTGCTAATTTCACAGATTGGGCACTCGAACAAGAACTATCTGGAAATGTATAACATGTGGGGGTTTGGGATGTTTTATGTCTGGGGGGGTTTCTGTATTGTGCTCTTTGTATCTGGGAGATAATTAGTTTAGCGAGAGTGTACTCAGTTATCTCCCAGACACAGATACGCCAGGGCAGGATCAGCTATGTAGTAAATGGAGACCCCATGCTGGGGGTCTGTGCATAAAAGGCTGCATGGTGCTGAATAAAACAAGTTATTCTTCCCAGCATTATGTGTCGTTTCATGTCTGGGGAAAGGGGCTGTAATCACGGAAGGGCTATTCTAGCTGAGAGAAAATTCTAGCTGAGGTATCCAGTCAAAATACAGGAGCTCCTCTACAAAGATAAAAAAAGAACCGGTTGTATGAAAAAGAGTTACATTCCCTTAATTTTTCTGTTTTAAACTTTCCTGCCAGCTGAGCATTTCGTCATCTACTTAGCCAAGCCAATTATATTTTTGTAAAGAAATCCAAGGACATAATATTTTGGAAACAAAACATTATGCACACAGTTTATTTATTTATTAAATAAATTCAGACCCTTATTAACAACAATAAGGGAATGTTTAAAGGAAAAAAAATGCAACAGTTGGTGAAAATAAAATACAAGGGCAGCTATATCTTCAAATATAAGAGGAAAAGGGTGAATGTACCCAACATGTGAGAATGAGGGAAAGAAAAGATACATTAACATTAATATTAACATTTTATATATTTAGGGGCAGAATTTATTTAAATCAACACCTTGATCAGAAAATGGCTGGGAAGGGCGGTAGGGAGTCATGGAGTACCGGTCTGCTGTGCTACATGAGAGGTCTGTTGGCAGAAGAGTGATGCAGAAGAAAGGCAGCGGGCAGGAATTGTACAGGGCATTCACTTGCCCAGCATTGTAAGGGAACACGCTGGCTGGTAAAATGCTATCTCAATGCTCGCTAGCCCTGAAATGGGATATTTCCTAGGAGTCTGCAGTAACATGGGACTAGTAGGTTGTTAAACTATGCTGTGTATGAATGATACCCCTGGAAAGGCGGAACGCGGCCACATGTTGAAATGAAACATTAATTCAACATGTAGGATGTCATTGATGGCAAACTGAGTCTGCTTTCCTCACGTGTGTTTCCCCTTCCCAATCCATTTCCCTTTTTCGTATATATCACTTTCCATTCAACCTATCAATAATGGCTGACCTATGGACCTATGTCTGCTCTTGTCTTTCCTGACAAACTTACCAGTTGCGGAGTTGTAAGACAGCACTGATTGCCACCAGAGAGGTCATTGATGTCATCGCTACCTTAGGTATACCATTATAAGTAGCTTTTTATTGATGGGACGGGTTATATCACTGGGGAAAACTAGCATCAGCAAAAGGGGTAGACTGTAATTGTCCATCCGAAAGCTGATAACTGGTCTTTTTATTGTGCTCTAAAACTTCAAAGAATAACTTGCAATGCGATTAGGAGTCAATTAACATTATTCTCCAAACATAATAGTCTCTAGATGAGCAAAATTAGCAAATTGGACATTTACTGAAAGCAATTCAGGGGTTAATTTAGTTAATTACACGAATTGTGCAGGTCAGCTTTGGCACAATCCAGTGTTTGGTAGTTTGAATCCCATGCAAAGTACACAATTTGGATATTTATCAAACACTGAAAATGTAAAGAATTTGCAGCAGTTTGTTCCAGTAGGAGGAACAATCATATAACAATTTCACCTGCATTTTGTAGGAGAAACTATCCATAATATTACTTGCCCAGGGCCCACACAAGGAGCCAACGGGCAAATCATAAAATAAATGGATAAAATAATAAAAACGAGGGTCCTCAGGAGATATAGTCCCTCCTGATTCCTCACAATACAGGCAGAGATGTTAAAGTAAAAAATATTATTAACCCTCTCATTTCCATTTGAGTCACATTATGTATTATTTTGTTTAACTACTTGCCTACAGCATTCTTTTTGTAGCCAGAGGCTGAATCTTCATTCAATAAAAATAAAATAGTTTTGGAATCCCTGAGCGATTCTTGAGTTACTCTCTGTACTTTTAGAGCCAGCTGGGCTGATTTGGATCATTTCAGAATTGTTCTCCGGATCAGTTCCATGTTTGCTTGGCACATAGTGGAGTACAATCTATTGAACTAATGCCATAATTCATCATCTGAATGGCTCGATCTTCTAATGAATGATTTTCTCCAAATTTTCCAAAGCAAATTCTCAGTTTAGTGAATAATTCCAGTGTGTGTTCGCAGATAACCAGTGAACTTCACATTTAGGACAAAAAAGCTGAGCTGGAAATATACCGTTCAGTAAATATACCGCAAATGACAACATACATTTATTATATATATTTTTTATTGAGGTATATGGAAAATAAAGCTTGCAAAACCTGCAGATCTTTTGTCTGCAGCCTTTGCAAGCCCTCCCCTTCTAGTCCCGCCCAGACTTTCTGTGGCTGTCCAATCACAGAATTCCCAATACAGCTCAAAGAGAAGTGTTTACGAGACAGGTGTTCTGGACAATTGCTGCCTCTTGAGTTTTACTTCACTGAGCTAACCTAACCAGGACGTAATAGTTGTCTGATTGGCAGTCCGAGGGATGTAACAAGGTTAATTTATAAAAAGTGTTTCTATAGAATACTGCGCTGTAAAATGAAAATTAGATGACACACTTTTTACACATAAAGCATTTCAGCAACCTAAAGTGCTTTAGGAGATTTGAGAGTCCCTTTATGTGAATCAGCCTGTTAGAGATTTTTCATTAAAATGTAAACTGAGAATTGTAGGTTAAAATAACTGAATGGGGGAAAAAATGAAATTTTGATTACTTTGGAATAATATTTTGCACATTTTAGGGTTGGTGAATAAATGTCTCTGTATTTCTGGAATATCTCTGAAAATGGCTAAGTACAGAAGACCTACTTTACGCGCCTTATGTAATCAAGAGTTTTGGAAGATTTCATTTTCATTTCATTTTCATTTTTTTTAATAATCCCCTGTGTATGTGAGATGATTTAAACGTTCTTGCAAGTTGCAACAGCGCAGGCAGATGTAATGCATACCTTACACAGCAGGTAAATTACCCGTGGTGCCATTCTACTATTTCCCCTCTGGTATTTTGTCTAAGCCTCTGAGCTCTTCCATGCTGTCACTTCCTTTTTGTCGCTTCAAGGTCTTACTAATTACTGATCTAAATGTGTAAGAGAAGATATAATCTGCAAAAAGAACAAGTACATCATATCTGGGAGCAGACGTATGCACCTTACGCAACCTTAGCAATTATCCTTGACGAAATCTGGCACTGCGGACCTTATTATGGGGCAGATATTAGACAAATTGAAGTTATTGGGAAATGGAAATGTCTTCATGTAACATTGTTTAGCCTTGTCGAGAAAGGTGAATCTCTGCTACGGTTTAATCTAACTTTGGGATGGATTCTGAGAAATGTTCTGCATGTGGCCAAGTATGGTTTCATTGGCCTTGCAAATAAAGTTCAAGAACAAACTTTGATAAAAAATGTATTAAATAAAATGGGAACAATCTTATCTTTCACTGGGAATTCTTCAGACATCGTTTCTTTCAGTTTCAGTTTCATTGTTTATCCAGGTAGAAAGAATAGAAGATAATTTAGAGCAGATTTAATTTTTTTTGTGTTTTGAACTGTCAAACTGGGGGTGATGGACATATGAAGCAAAGGCGCCTGCTTAGTTTCTTGTAAGTGCACTTGGATTTAGCCACATTTTCTTACATCAACTTAGTCTTTAATGATCCATTCTTTATCCTTTTTCTCAAAATATGAGTGTTGCCTGATGTTGTGTAGGAATTTAAAGAATTCACAGTCACCTTAAAGGGATTCTATAGTGCCAGAAAAACTTGTTTGTTTTCCTGGCACTATAGGCTCTTGGAGTGCCCCCCTCCCACAGGGTTGAAGGGGTTGAATCTCCTTCAGCCACTTACCTGAATCCAGCGCTGATGTCGCTCTGCGCTGGGTGAGGCTCCGCCCACGCTCCGCCTACGTCAGCTGGCGGGGAAAACCTAATGTGCAGGACGTCCAGCGTCAGATAACGAACCAAAAGTCTGCTTGGATTCCGGAAACCCTCTAGCGGCTGTCTGGTAGACAGCCACAGAGGGCAGACTTAGAGCTGCAATGTAAACATTGCAGTTCTCTGGAACTCCGTTGTTTTTCATTGCAGCACTAAGTGCAAAAGGGTCATAGCACCCAGACTACTTCAATTAGCTGCAGTTTCCTGTATAGGCAGAGGACAGATAATTTCTCTTATTTAGAAGAACCTAATTGGTCAGAATATATGCTTATTGCTCAGCCACACATCATTCTGGTCTCAGACCTTCTTCCGTTGAGCCACTAGTGACACTGCCCAC